GTTTCCCTCTACATGTTGACTATTTTACAAGCCAGTAACATGTTAACCACAGGCAAAGAGGCTTCACCAGATATCTGGCATATTTAATTAGTGCAAGTAAAACAAGCCAAGTTTAAGTGTATTCATTTCTTTTTAAAAATCTATTTGTTACAAGTTGTGTAACACTTAATATCTTAAGAAACAGGTGAGAATTCTGTGGCTGGCTGAATTCAGTTATAGAATTCAGAATTCAACTTGGCCCTTTTGTGACATTCATGAAATTACAGTAGGAGCTAGTTTGTGTTCACAACATTTGCAGTTACAAAATAGAATATCTTTGTGGACTTTCTTTGTGCCAGAAGCACCACAGTAAAATTAATAAGTATATCAGATAAGTTCAACCCAATAAAGAGTAACATCAAGAATTTTTGAGGCAACTAGCATCATACCTTTCATAATGCGTGCTGAGGAGCATAGAGTGTGCTGATTTAAGTGTGAAATTGTCTGTCCCTCCTTGTACAGTGGATCCTTGACTTACAGACGGCTTGACTTACAGACTTTTTGAGTTACAGACTTCTCTGGCCGCAAAATTTAGGTTTGACTTGCAGAATGAGATTTGACTTACAGACCAGAAAAAAACCAAAATGGAACAAAAACGGCCTGTTACGGGATTAATCGGTTTTCAATGCACTATAGGTGGGAGACTTGAGTTACAGACTTTTTGACTTGAGAACCGCCTTCCAATACGAATTAAGTTCTCAAGTCAAGACCCCACTGTACTCGTAAAGCACTATGTTTGTGCAAAAGCTCAGTTTTCTTAAATTTATCTTGATTCTGCCAGTTCCTCTCCATTGCCCATTAAGTGACTTCTAAATCACCCAGATCTCCACATGGCAGAGGGCTAGCCTTTCCTGGGGATTCTATCAATTTTAAGAGGTGGGTAGTATCTATAAGTGGTGGCTTGTAATCCAATTATGATTCTACAGCTTGCTTTGGGTGCTACAACTACCTGTTTTGCATTGGCTGAAGTATACCACACCAGGCTGACATCTTCACCTGTGGAATAACAAGGCCAATGCTGTAGTTCTTAATGTTAGTGGTTGTGTGTCCCAGCTGGTTCCTGATGGCTTTCAAATAAAATTATTCCTTGTAGAGGCCTTTTGCTTTACGTTTTGGCAGTGATTCATGTATGATCCAAAGTAACACTTGGGTGTTTGGGGGCGAAACAATTACCTAGTTGGACACCCTTCTAGTTCACCTGAAGTTTCTGAGATGGCCGCTTATTTTTCAGATGAAAGGCATGTAATGTAAGTCATAGGAGGATTGAGTTTAAGTTGGTTTCCACCAAAATATACACCAAGTTCTATTAGGATATGTTGCATTGTCTGACTTAGCTGCAAGTGTGAGAATGTCATTGTAAATAAAATTAGCTAGTCCTTCTTGTGACTTGAGGGAGTAGTTAATTGATTGTGTAAATATTAAACAAAATCGGAGCATTTCAACCCCATAAAACTATGGTTTTACATTTTTCTCCTCTTTCTCTAGATTTCATAGTACATGCTGTGCCTAACAGAGCCATAACAACCCATTTGTTAGTCCTGATCCTTTTCTCTTCCTAGCAGTACACTCATTGTGGCACTATCCATATTCTTAGAAACTTATGAAGGAGTGATCTTCTCTCTCAGTCAGCAGTTTGACTGTTTAAAAGCTGTGCATAACAGAAAATTGATCACCCAGTGGGTCCTTGTGTTCAAGGTAAAGCATACATTGCAGGATATGGAGGATTTAAGTTTTTACGTGTTGTTGTTGTGGTTGATTGACAATACGATAATGCCCAGAATCCTACTGAGGGTTTAGACATCCGTAAGTTTGGTTGCATAACTCACTGTGACAAGTTGCCACTGACTAGCAGGGCACTCTTGCATCATTAGACATATGCCTGTTGTGCAGTGGAGAATACAGTACATCTCGAAAGAAGACTGACACCTCTACCTAGCAGCCATTCATGGCACTAAGTGATGCAATTTAATTTATGCATGCATAATCTACGGATAGAATTCTATCTGATATATAGTAGATATAGTAGTTCTGAGTTGTATGTCAGAGGGAAGCTGTGGGAATAATGAAGGAACATGTGGAAAAGACTTGGAATGTATGTCCCAGCACTGCATTTAAATAAGAGAATAAGAAAAGGTAATCTTGGCTGCAGCACTCATCCAAAACTCATTCCTTTCAATGAAGGCAAATACATTTGGTGAAAGAAATCTGTGGCATATTTTGTATGTAGTTTGCCTTTTTAAAATTACAGTAAAAAAGCACAGGGAAAGGGAGGAAGGTGGTGTAAAAACGTTTTAAATAAACAAATAAAATAAATAACACCACTCATGCACAGATATAAACACTGAGATCTAAATTCTCAAGTAAGTGACATTTAATTTTCAAATTTGTTGTAGATAATTGTTTCCTTTCTAGAACCTCATTTGGCATACTTTACAGATTGAAAGGCATACCCCTTCATCCCTTGTGTTTATGGTCTGAAATCGTCACTGTGCATGGCAAATTTCTTTTGGTTGATGCCTAAATTGTGGAAGGATAAAGTAAGTAACATTCTACCCACTCCTCAGATGTTCTTTTCTTTTCCAATGATCTGTGAGGGAGATTTATAATTTGGATCCCAGGTTTGTTGTTATATGCTGTCCAGTCATTTCCAACATATGGTAACTCTGTAAGTTAATGATAATCAAAAGGTCTTATCATTAACAGACAAAATTCTTTTTTCCTTCTTTTTCTCTAAAATGGTGTAATGAAGCATATGTAAAATGCTAAACCATTTAGTTAGCTCTGATTAAAATCTCCCTTTTTTGTTGCTAATCAAAGGTATTTTTAAGTTTGGTAATTATAACTTGTGTAGGCTACTGAGAAAACATATCAGCTTTTAAAAATGTCATTACAGTTCACTTTGTTTTTTTCCTCATTTTTTTTCCCCAGGGCCTTTTTGCCATGGCTGGCAGGTGCGGGGGGGGGGGAAGGAAATACCTATTTAGCAAGTCTTTCAGGTCATCTCACTGTGGCTGAAATCTTCAGCAGTTTTCAAGAGAAAGCTTATTGACCAGATGCATTGAATCTGCTGTAGGTTTAAGAGAATTTTAACTAGCAGGATTGGAAGTTCACTTTCCTTGAACAGGAATGGAAGCAAATTGCCTTCTTTAGTTTCACAACTTAATTCATTTCCCCAAAGGTACACCGGCTAGTAAGCCAGAACTTCCTTGCAATTTCCTTTTTTTCTTTTTTGACCTGTTCTTCCATACCATATAATTTATGTATTGTACACTGTACAATATTTCAGTTAAGCAAACTAAGACTTACTCCAAATAAACAGTTATAAAAAACACCAGAAGCAGTGCTGTGGCCATTTGCAGTTTGATTCATGATCCATGTAGCTGGTGGTGGAAAACAGCCTGCAAACTTTCAAAAAATGCCCACCCCTTCCTTTTGTGGACGCCTACAAAACTTTTGGTAAATTAAAACTGCCTTTCTGAATTGCATTGATTTGAAAAATGGCAACGTACAAGATTCGTGCATATAGTGACTTATTTACACTAATATTTTAGTTATGCAAATAAGTTTTAACTATATATGTGAAAATGGATACAGTTCTCTTTTCAAAGATCCATCCACTGAGCGGCAAGAACAATCCCTAACTCTTTTGCTTGTTTGATCTCTCAGTGGCATTGTGAACCAATACATGTCACCCTCAGAAAAAATAGTAAAAAATCATGTTCAGACACAATTTATTGACAGATGATGTTACTTAATGAATTCCTAAAATGGCAATTCATGAGGTATTAAAATAAATCCTAAAGAAATGAAAAATTACTCACTTAATTTTTTTTGATAAATCATAATTATCAGAAGATATTTGTATTTATTATGTGTAGGATAATATATCTGGATGTTATTCCTAAAATGTGGATGTTATTATTTGTTAACTCCAGTTCCTGAAATTTAATTTTAAATGATAAATTGAGCAGCTTATATTCTGAAACAGTAGGTGCATGAAATCTGCAGTGGCTAGGCAGAATTGCTGCTAATAAAATAACACATTATACAGTTTAGTTTTGGTGTTAGATTTCACCTATTCACGGTTGTCTTCTCTTACTAAACAGCAAACCTTGATTGAAAAATGTATTTACATGAGAGAAAAAAATTATAAACAATATAGTTTACAGCACTAGCAAGCTAAAATGCATTAAAATATCTAATTTGACATTCGAACAAACCTTAAGTTGCGAAGCTTCTCCAGTTAATACAAAATGTAACTCAAGTGCAAAACCTTCCTGGAGAAGTCTCATTGTTACAGGTAGCACCAACAAAACAGTTTCCCAGCATCTTAAAAATCTGAACAGAATTTTTGTGGGACTGGCTTTTGTGGACTAGAGTGTGCCATCATATATGCATTCAGGGCAGTGGTAAACTGGTCAGCAGGTGTATGTTTGTCTAATGCACTGGTTCTTAACCTTGGGTTACTCAGGAGTTTTGGACTGCAACTCCCAGAAGCCTCCATCACCAGCTGTGCTGACTGGGGTTTCTGGGAGTTGCAGTTCAAAAGCATCTGAGTAACAAAGGTTAAGAACCACTGGTCTAATGGATTCAAATTATGGAAGCCTTCATGATTCATCTCTCAACTAATTTCATAACAAAGGGTTGAGAACACAGATGTTCTTGTAATGTTTCTACCATCTAGTGAAGCTCTTCAAATGGCTCTGAAATGGAGAGTTGAGAAACTTCAGACTCTTTAAACATTAATAGATTTACTTCAGTGAGCTTTCAAGAATCTAAATCCATTTCAGTGGATGTTGATTCATGATAGTTCACTCTAAAATAAATCTGTTAGTTTTTAAAGCAGCACAATATTTTTCTTTTTTTCTTTTCCTTTTACTTTTTAATGTTGCCCTCATGTAGAGACAGACTAACACAGTTGCTTCTTCGGGAATTCATTATCTTTTTTTTTTTCCTTTCAGGCATTCTAGAATTCACATCAGGACAGGGCTAATGGATGCGCATCTGTATTGCCTGAAGAAATGTGTAGTAGACTTCCTCGTGGAGAACAGGTAAGGAAAAAAGCATAGGGCCTAAGTTGCATGTGCATTTCCAAGCACTTTGTTTATTTGCACTGGAAGCTTTGTCCACTTCAGTTAATATTGTCATTCACAAATAAAACATTTCTCCTTTATATGTTGCCACACCTCTTTTGATTTGAAACTGCAAATCCATTATACTGCACAGATATCTTTTTGTCAAAGTATGCAGCTTCTAGATCATATGCAGTGTATGGTTGGATTTCTGCTTAAGGACCCTCACGTGCTTGGAGAGGTGGAAAAGAATGAAGATAATTTCATTATTCCTCCTCCCTTAGCTCTATGCTTGACTTCGCTGGGTATTTTCAAGAAACAACTGAAAACATGGATGTTCAGGCAGGCCTTCCCCCTTTCCACCTAATACCTAATTATTCTTTTTCTGTTATAATATGTTTCTCTCCATCTTTGGGAAAAAAAATTATTCTATCTTTTAATTTATGTAAATTATTATTTGTGATGAGGTTTGTTATATGCTTATTTTTTAACTGTATGTTGTAAGCCGCCTAGAGTGGTCACAATTGACTAGATAGGTGGGGTATAAATAAATAAATAAATAAAAATATTCCTCCTCCATACTTCTTCCCCAGAAGTTTTTGTCCTTAAGTTGAAAAGATAAACCCTTTTGGCATTTCTGTTTCCAGCAGCTGCATTATGACCACCTCCATTTGTTAAGGTTTTCTCTTTCAGTGACATTGGAAGCACTCTACTAACCTCTTGGCTCTTGTTAGCGAGGACCAAGGTTCATATGAGGTTCAAAGATTGTAGCGAAGAAATAAACTCTTCAAAACGAAAGAAGCCACCTAATCCCTAATGCCAGACAATACTCAAGAAGCATAACCTCTAATGTAGGGTTCTTCTTCATGACTCTATAAATGCGTCTTCTGCACTTACGCAGAGAATCATTCGGAACTTACTTCACGATGTGTATTGCTTTTTAAAACAAGAGAGGGGCATCAAAGACTGGACAAGCATTTACTAAAACTAGATAGCAGCTCCCATTTCTCCACTTCTAAGGAGCCACATATCTATCAATAATCAAAGGCTTTTGCAACTTTAAAAAATAGTTTGCTGCTTCTTGTATGGTTTTTCCCCCTGTTCCATTAAATGCAGTTTCTGACTTCAGTGGGTGCAAGCAGAGAGCCAAAACAGACTTTGGCCTCACTGTTATATTGCCTTTGTGCCTGTCAAGCAACTGAAGTCTTACCCACTCAATTGGAGACCGCTCATGTGGCTGCTCTTCCTCACTAATTCTGAGCTGCAGGGGGACAGCAGAAGCACAGCAAACACTTAAAACCTTACCCTCCATTTTTATGTGACTGGTGACTTTCCATCCTAACCAGTGGCAGTAGATGGCAAATTATAACCTTAACCAGACTGTGTTCCTAGAGCCTACTTTCTCTTCATTCATATCTTTTGGGACTTCCTTGTTTGCTGGTAGCAGGATCATATTTCCACCACCTGTGTGTGTGTCTGTGTATACATTATTTTGTCCATCTGCAAACCCAACCCCACCCTGGATAACCTTGCATGTAGCCTATCTTTGTTGCATCCTGTATTTTTAACTTGTGATGTTTCAACTGTGAGATGGAGACCACCCACTGAGATGAAGAAAAACATCCATTTATGAAAGGAGACCATGATCCTGGCTATGATGGGGATTTTTGGGGTTGTGGGGAACCAGTGTATTTGGCATAAATTGGAAGCTACTCATAGCTGGGTCTGAGAAAATAGCTTTCAATGCCACCTGCTGGAATCACCATTGTATCCAGAATAGGTCATTTTTTTTATATCTCTTGTCCTTCTGAAATGTAAGCCATATGTGATTACAGGATTTAGAAAACCTTAGGAGCTTCTACTGTATTTTTTTAAATTCAAAGCAACTAACATGAGAGGGATGGAATTCAAATCAGTTAAGTTTTTGGCCAAGTGGTACAGCTGATAGATTTCTAAACCAAACCTGTTCATGAAGCAGCTGGTGAAGCAAGTCAGCCCATTCTCAAAAATATATCTGTGTTCAAGATATTCGCTTCAGTGCTGTACGATTTTTGGTAAGATGGTTTGTTTTTTAGTTCATCATCTCAGCATAAGTGGTAGATGGCTTTATTCATTTTGATTCTTGTTTGACATGTAGCTACCATTCAGCTGGACCAACACAATTTTGAGAAAGTAGTATGTGCAAGAGGGCACAGGCCAGTAATTAATTTGCAATCCCTTCTGTTGGTGCTGTGAAACAGCTAGTTTTTGGGTGTAGAGAGAAATCATTGACTGAAGTCCAGTGATAAGTCACAACTAGAATAGGCACATTGAATCAATGGAACTTACAGAGGAGTTGGCTCATCCGATTTCCACTGATTCCATGGCCCTAGTTGCAACTTACTACAGTATTGGATTTCAGCCATTATCTTATAAAGCAGAAACAAACACTTCTGTTCTATCTTCAGTTGTTAATCCTCATGTTCTTTAAACAGCTTGCCTTGTCTTCTTTCAATCTGGAAGTGTTGTTAGCACAAAGAATTCAAATTGTCTACATTCACAAAAAAATTACATTTTTCTTAAGATGTTTTTACTAGGAAGGATGTAATGGAAAGGGGTTCTAGGAACCTTCCACTATGGACCATACTTTCATATTTGGTGCACAGAGGAGTTTTCTTGGATGCTATAAAGTAAGACTGCCTTTGCTTGGAAGAAGGCCTTTGTACTTCTCATATTCACAATTACTTTTTGCTAGGTATACTATTCAGTAGAGTTTCTTCAGTTTTCTTTACCGGATTTTATTATTTTATAGTGATATTTGGTGGAGTGTAAATGAAGTAAATGAATCAGTACAGTTATCTGCATTGTCTTTTCTTCTTGAAAAGAAAGAAAAGCTGTAGGTTTGATGAGAATGCATGTTCTTTTCTGGACTCTTTACTTATTATTTCTGGAATCTCTTTTAGCAGTGTTTGAAGGCAAAAAATCTTTTGGCCTCCTACATGAAGAGGCACTTGTTTTCCACTGGCAACTACTGGAAAATGTTGGTGTGAGAGTGTCCTATGTTCTTACTCGTTTTGGCAAATGAGCAGCCATGTTTTGGCCAGATGGAGGTTGAGAACACTTCACAAGAGGGGATGTCTGGTTCTGGCTATTTTGGCTCCTGTCAATGTATGAGAAGGGTGTCTCAAGCTCCCATAAAGTTGCATATCAAGACGTCAGATCATTTATGTTTATCTAAAGTTTAGATAACCTTTAGACATATATAGATTCTAAGACCAGCTTTCATTGGTTGTTTTTTGTTTGCTTATTTGTTTCAGCTTCGTCCCACCCTTCTTCCAAGGAGCTTGAGCTGATTTGCACAGTCTTCTGTTCCTTATTTTACCCTAATAACAGCCTCATGAAGTAAGATAGGCCAAAAGATAGAGATGGGCCAAATCCAAGGTCAAACTATGGCCCCTGCATAACTGAGTAAAGATTCTAGATCCAGTTCTAGATCAGCACCTATTAAACCTTACAGACTTTCACCTCTTCAGCAGTTAGGGTGGGCCTAGATTCAGGTCTGCCATCATTGACTCTTTTTGGTCCTTAACAGTCAAATTGAGCGGCCACATATGGAGCAGTTCCCTGAGCAAAATGGTGAGCCTGCTTTGTAAGAAAGCTAGTAACACTAAAGCTGAAACGCTGGGCTCAGTTAAAAACTATGTGGGTGGCTGAAGACCTTCCCCTTGTGAAGTTACTTCCTCTGTGGTTCCCTTTCCATAAGTCAGCCTACCAAGGTCTCCATGCTGACCCTTTTCCTGAAAACTGTTCCAAAAAAGAGAATATCTCCCACCTGAAATTTGTCCCATGAAGAAAAAGCTATCATGTGTCCTGTTACCTCCTATGATGAGCACCAAGATTACTGGGGAAGTGGAAAGCTCTCCTTCAGTTGATGAGGGTGTATTTTGTCCACAGGCTTCTGCTTGATTTGCTTCGTGGTATGTTGTACACAGAGGCCCCTGCAGGTTTACATTAAGATGCTGCCCAGACTAAACCAGTCCTTCGTTTTGCTTTCCCTCCCTCTCAATGCCTTTTTATCATTCACACTGTCACCTGTGTTTCCTGGCAAGGCCTGCAGACTGTGAGGGAGGTCTGGCAAAGCTGAACTTCTGGCTTAATGCATGCTTTTTCTCTCTTTTCTCGCCTGCCGAAAGGATGGCTGCAAAACAGAGCTTGCTCTGTGGACACCTAAGAGAAAACACGTCAACTGTATAGTTGGAATGTATTTTTCTGCCCTGTAAAGATCAGATTGTATAATGAATACTTTCCTTGTAATTAAAATATATAAAGAAACAAATTTTGTTGGGAAGAAGCTGAGCAAATTATGATATTCCTGGCAATCACAATGTAAACAAAATTTGTGCCCAAATAAATAAAAATATGAAATGTTTTTTCTTAGAGAAACAGAGAGCTAAGGATGCCCCCTCCCTCCCTTATTGGCTTTTGGATAACCCAATTGCAAGGTTTTCTTACATGTACACAATACCTGTCAGTAGCTGTAAACATATTGAACACTCAACTTTTATTGGTGTTTACTATCTCAGCTGCTTCATAACTGAGCTACACTGAGTTCAATTTAGGAGTTGAGTGTTGTTGTTCTTATCATTGACCCCTGGCGTGCTGTGGTCCATTGGGTCACAAAGAGTTGGACATGACTAAATGACTAAACAACAACAACTTATCATTCTAGCATAGGTGAACTTCTCTTGAGAGGTTCAAAGATAGTCTTGGTATTGCATTTTCCTTTATTCTGAAGATACAATTATAGAGACTTTTTTTAAAAAAAAAAACAACTGATTTGGTGGAGCAGGCAGACACAGCAGGTCCTTTTAAGGAAAAATGCAGGGTAAACATATTTTGATTAATTAATTAATCAACATGAAACCACATGTTTTAGAACATATGCAGTGATGCTACATTTATTCATTGGGAGGTTTTGCACAAATAATCATGAGAGTTCA